TACTTTATCATAATAGCCTCTCTCTCTCTCTCTCTCTCTCTCTCTCTCTTTCTCTCGCATATTTACAGTATATATTTCTAATGTATGTAAAAGTGATATTATAGTTAATGAAAAAATGCAGCAAAAGATAAAATCATGTGAATTCCTAAAAGTTAGAGGAAATAATAGCTATAATTTTGTTGCGAAATTATACAACGATTTATGAAATTGAATACAAATTTAAACAAACATTAATATCCAAAATCTTTCATTAAAACCAAAGCATTCTCTGTATTATCAATAGAATTTAATATTGACTTGTATTTTCAATATACAAAACACACTGTATTTTGGGCTTTTATGGCAAAGAATTGTTTTATTTTTTTGTAATTAAAATGGGACCTGATTTAGACCTTAAAGCAAACTAATATCTATTTCGAGAAAAATCATTAAAAGTCTGTTAAACAAGCCTTAAGTTTAAATGTCGTGACATTTAAGAGTTATTTGCCTAATAAAGACCTAAACATCAATGAATAATAAATGACAAAAACTCTTTATAATACAAAAAGATTATACAAATTAATTGACATTTTCTCAGTCACATGAACCAAAAGACAGGTCTTTTCTTACAGTAATCCCATTCATAATTAATTAGAAAATACATTTTCTTACATAAAAAGGAGATAAACTATAGATTTATCTCAATTTGAATGAAAGTCAATCTTAATTGAGAATTGATGTGAAAAAAGAAAGTGAAAAACAACTAAATATAATGTGAAAGAAAGTAAGAGAAAACATACCTTAACTTAATCGTAGACTTATTTTCGTGTTCAACACTTTCTCTTTGAATTGTTGTCACATTTGATGACTTATTTTGCTGTTTATCGCACAAAATGACATTATTTTGGTCGCAATTTTTTGCCGACCTTTTGCCACAATCGCGATCATTACGACACCCATTGTCACCGGATTTCGAGGTACTTATGGTATCGATTCGTGGTATCAATTGGTTGGCAGACAAAGCGATTGCTTTCGTTTTGCTTTCAGTATTTGTCGACACATTTGACACATCAATCGATTGGTGTCTAACGGACTTCTGGTCTTTGGGCGCCAATCGATCCCATCTCTCATCCGATGGCCGATCGCCGCGATTCCTATTGCCTCTCATCTCTCGCTTCTGGTGATCGACGGCTAGAGAACTGATCATTTTGTTGTTGTTTGGGTTGCGATGGGAGCGAAAAGTATCAAAAGTTTGTGGCGAAGAGTTGGTCGCCTCCTCTTCAATGTCATCCATGTGTCGATTGACGGGCCGTTTGTTAGTGAGTGGGTTAGCGATGGGAAGAGTGGACTGCAAATACAGTTTTCCTCTTTTGGCCATAATATGATTGAGTTGTGGGGACGACAGGCACTGATGTCTTACTCCCAATACCCAATTACTCGATGCAATGGCACTGTTTTGTGGCCCACAATCCAAACGAGTATCGCTTCCAGTATTGATCAGCAGTTGCTTTGCTTCGTATGCTTTAGCACAGGCAGAGGTACGACAGGAATGAGGCGCTAGTATTCTCACTGTTCCTCCTTCTCCTCCTCCTCCCAGACCCTGATCTGGAAACCCATCGACGGCTATGTAGTCGCTGTCGGAATCGCTGCTGAAATCCACGAGCAGTTCATCGATGGACGACTCCATGGAAGACGAGTGAGACATTTGAGAAGTTTGTTATTTGTTGTTTGACTGAGTATTTCGTACCAGAAAATAATTTCTGGTTATTTTGGCACTAAATATACAAAAGAAAATAACGCTTTTCTTCTAAATTTACTTTTTCTTTCTATTATTTGTTTTTCTCTCACTTTTTTGGTGTTCTTAAAGGATTTGCCGCTAATTTCTTACGTGTTTGCATTCAATGTCTATATATTTGGTAGGATTTCTCTTCTGAAATCATGAGGAATTGTAATGTCCTTCTCTCGACTCCAGTGAACACTTCTCTCAGTTGTGTTTTACTGTTAAAGACTATACCCGTTATAGTGTACGGAAAGTTTGTATGAGTAAACCGGATGCCACTGGAAAACGGTTTCATTTTTTTTGTCTGACAATAAAATAACTAATTAATGAAATGCCGTATAAAACAACGGCTCTGTTATGTTGTCATTCATTAAGTATTCCCAAAGACTTTTTTGCCAAACAATATCCAAAGTGTGCCACAAGTTGTATACCCATTGCGTAATGTATTTGTATTACTTTTTTGCATTGATATTAAACTTTATTTTTTTAAATTTATTATGAAATGCGAAAAATCAGAACAAATCTGAAGCATAAGTAGGAAAACAAAACGATTGAAAGCACTTGAACTCTCATTTCAGCACAAAAAACATATACAAATCGCTATTTATTATAATTTTCATTTTGTCCCAACGTTTAAGGGATTTTGTAATCAAATTAAAGCACTTGCAGTGAATTCAAAGTATTTCTTCTCCATTGAGTGTGGATTTAATTTTTTTCGTTACACTTTAAGGCGTTTACGCCATAAATATGTAAAGTATTCATCAAAGAAAAGTTTTCATCTGAAAAATATTTAACCAAAACAGTAGATGTCTTTCAATTTCTTAAAATATCAAAAATCTATATAAAGTGTCGATTTTAGAGATGAAAAATGCTATTTTTTAGTGAACAGAGTGTTGAACCCAACAGAAGAGAAAAAAAGTTAAACAACAATTTTTGTCGATTCTATGAACAGAAATATTCCCTTCATTTCATCAAATGGGTCACACATTTCACTATAAGATACTACGAGAGAAAAATGAAATATAATCATCGCATTTATATGCATAGTATATCAAAGAGAGGCAAAATTGAAAGGGAGAGAGAGAGAGAGAGAGAGAGAGAGATGTTAAGAAATGGTTAAATGTATGCATTCATTACAATCACGTCTTTAGCCAATATTATAACGTATTGTAGAAGACTTTGTGTTCAATAATTTGTTTCCCATTTAACCGCAATAAATATTGTTAAAAGTATTTACAAAACACAAAACAAGCGCTGATATTTTATATCAAACATCAATCATCTCTCTCTCTCTCTCTCTCTCTCTCTCTCTCTCTCTAAGAAATAATAATTGTAATGTATTTTATTACAAGATGTGATTCCACACAATAGGTCTAACACTGAGCTCTAATTGTGTAACTAATTGTCTAAATGTTTAGATAAAATGCTTTCTAAAACTGGATACTCGACCTGTGCTGAAGGGACTGACGGGTCGGTCAACAAACTCTCACTCAAACAAACAAATCAACGCTAACTTAAGAAAAGAGGACTGAATTCTCTATATTTCTTAATATAGAAGACCTGACTATTCATTGAATAAACGAATGGATAACTAAAAAAGTATTTAATGTTGTTTTTTCTCTCATTTTCATTAATGATTGTGAAATTGATATAAAACTTGCTGAGAGAGAGAGAGAGAGAGAGAGAGAGAGAGAGAGAGAGAGAGAGAGAGAGAGAGAGAGAGAGAGAGAG